ATGACAAGCCCGTGGCAAGTGTCAGGCCAATTCAGTCAACACCAATACCCATGATGCCTCGCCAGGTTGGCATGGGCATGGTTGGCTCTTCCGGCAGTCTCCCTGTCAACTTTCTCCAGAAAGCCGGTGTTTACGTGCAGAGGATTGTCACCACAACAGGTTATTATGATGTTTTTAATGTTTAAATCACAATAAATAAATAAATAAGAGATCAGATATTACATCCGCCATTTGTCTGGATTCACAGATATAGTGATCCCAGGAGCCAACAGCTCAACAGATGTTCAAGCTCGAATCAGCGCAGGAGAGAGCATCCATGTTATCAGAGGATCTAAAGGTTGGTTCAGTGCTGTGTTAAGAACTCTGTGCATACAAACACTCATTTAAACATCTCTCTTCACTTACTCTTTTCTGCAAAGCAGGTACCTACATCAGAACAAACGATGGACGAATATTTGCCATTCGATCTGGAAAGATCAGTCGACCTGTAGCCGGGGGTTCTGCTGCTTCAAGAGGTAGGGGTTTTCCTCTTCATTCAGATGTTTTGTCTCATTCATAAGACAAGTATTTCTTATCTGATTAATCAGTGGAATAATCAGTAGAACACTTGTTTTCTAAAATAATCGATAGCTGCAGTCTTACACTTAATCAAATTTAGATATTTCTCTTCTGGTCTGTAATGCTGTTTATCCATCCAAGTTGGGTACATCAGACACAAGGCCCAGGGAACAAGGCCAGAATTGACCTGGCAGGGACTCCAGTCTGGCCCACCTGATGTGATTGGAGCATCTAAAGGAGGGCATAAATATTGGACTTTTAACAGTATTGTTATATAGCATTTCCTATGGATAAAGACCTCCCACATGGCTATTCATGGCCTCCTGAGAACCGAGGAAACGACTAACTTTCAGTTGGCTGGTTCTCAGAAGGATAGTACACCAAAGTAATTGAATAATAAATAAATAAATAATTTTAGATGACAGTGAAAAACTGGAACTTTTCTATCTACAATAGAAAATGTAGTTTTGTTTTGCTTAGCTTTTTTTTGTTTTTTTATAAAGTGTAGTTAATGTGCAGTTAAACTTCCTTAGTCTGATGGAAAAGGGAGTTTCTTTGGTCTTGGCCCACTTAATATCAAAGTGGGTTGTATGTGGCCCTCGATGTAAAACAAGTTTGACATCCCTGATCCAAGTCATTTAGGTAAGACGGAGAGTATGTAGGACCTACTTTCTTTTTGGATGCATGTCTTTGATTCTTTGAGGACCACATTTCATCTTCTTCCATTATATTTAATAAGAGAAGTTGGACAAACTGGGGAACTGTAGAAAAAAAGGTGAATTTGATTTGAGGGTGAACTGTCCCATTAATCAGTGATCACATTTGTGCAATGCACTACATCAAGTTTTTTAACAAGATTTTCAACTTATAACTTTGTCATTTTCTTTTCAGGATTGACCTTTCAAAATTAAATTCCCCAAAGACGGGAACCCTGTATAAGACCCCTGACATGTCTGCATTTCTGTCTTCTCTACAGACTCCCAGGGTTCGGGGATCCGACCAGTCAGTAATGGCTGTTCTTCCCCTGTGGATCAAAACCAACGTTCCCCCAACGACGAGCAGCGACCCTCTTCTCCCTTAGGCACGGAGATCCTCAGAGAGCTCAGCCATTACACCTCATCCACAGGCGACGCTGCTGCTGCTGGAGCAGGGAACGATTTGGCGTCACCGTCAGACATGTCATCTGTGCCGTCGGGAGATGGAAATGCTTCACAAAACTTTCAGGCCCGCGATCTCAGTAGGCTCGGTGACGACCTTCTGAGTTCATCTTTAGAGATGCGAGGCACCAAACGCAAGAGTACTGAAAGTCAGGGAAACGCACAAATGGGAGACAAATGTACTTCTGCTGCAGCTCATTTCCCTGCGCTTTCAGGTGGGCTCAGTTTTCCTCCAGTGGGTCTGAACTCATCCCTACTTGGGAACCTTGGTCACATGAGTCACCCACTTCTAATGGCTGGTAGTGGTGGATCATCATTCCTACAAACACCAGGACAAACACTGGCTGACCTACAGACCATATTTCCCTCTGCAGGCACAGACCTACTGAGACAACCTGCCACAGGGAACGGGCACCTTCCCACCCCCTCCTCTTCCTCTCTGTCCACTATTTTCTCCTCTGCCTCTACGACCATTCCTATGTCATCTACATCCTCAGCAACAACTTCTTCCTCCCTACCATCTGGTTCTCTGCCTCGGTACTTGATGAACCCCAACATGGCTGGCCTGCTTTCACCGAGGTTCCCCCTCACCTTCAGTCAGCCATTGCTCTCTGAGCCGAGGTTGTTCTCCACGCCTCTTCTCTCAGGGTCAGGGGGGTTTTCTGCACCCAACTCCAGCTCGGCTACATCCAGCTTCCTGTCCCACTTCAACAATCCCACTTCCAGCCTGTTGGGGGCAGCTCTGACCCAACCAGACAGACATCAAAGTACAGAGAACGGCGGTGACAGTTCAGATGATGATGTTATTGAGGTGACAGGACAGTAAGTCAGGAGTCTCAGAAAGTGCTGGCAAGGCAGTTACACACATACACACCTGTTTAACCTAAAGTGCATTAGGAATGGGAATATTTAAATCTTTTATGCAACTAAATCAACGAAATTCTGTTGTACCCCCCAAAGTTGCGTGCTATTTTCTGAATTTGCTCTCAGAATGCAAATGAAGAGAAAAAAGTGCAACTTGATTAGATTGAAATGCATAAATAATAAAACGTCTCAGGAAGGATTTATGTTAATCCTGAACCTCTTAAATAGAACGAAGTTACCTGCTTTGACTTTATTTGGCAGTGTTTCACTTATGACCGAGCAAACAGTGGAACTGAATTCCCATTTCTAATTCATTGTCATTAAATGTCACACATCAGGACGCACACAAACAGCTCATACCTTACTGACTTTCCAGAGTCAAGAGTTACAAAATCCTCATGCTGACTGTCCCAAGTTGTTGAGCTGGAGCAGCAGAGCAGTGGGAACAGACCTTTGTCATACGGGGACCAGCCGAATCTTTCAGGGAGGCAAAACAGCCTCTTTGTGCTACGTTTTAAAGCAAGGCTATGCCTGCAGTTTTCTTTCCTCTGACTTCAAATGAAAGTGATTTGAAACTTTTTTTTTTTTTCATGGCCAGTTTCTTATTAAAAAGTGTAACAAAACTGGAACGCTACATGCCACAATAATGAGTAACACACAGTAGCTAATGGGTGGAGGGGATTGTGAAAATCCCCAATATATTGAGAGATGATCCTTCAAGGCTCACCTTTAACAACAGGAATTTTAGGCTTTCAAGCATATTTTAGTCTTTAGCAGTTTGATAGACATTGTAGCTCCCCTGTTAAAGGATATGTGTGATACTATAATTGAACATGTTGATACTTTGTAAATAAACAGTCATTATCATTGTTTATATTGCAAGTCAATACTGTGCAGTGTGTAGATTTTGGTCGTAAGGAAATGGTTTATTAATACGGTGACAGTCATCATGATAAACCCACCCTGAGGATGCTGGGGAAGCAAATTTCTGTTTAACTTTGTATTTTTTTTTTTCCCTTAAAATTAAAGTGAATGTACTATCATGCTAGCCTTTGATAACACAGGGGCAGGGACATGGATTTGGACTGTGTTCTTTCATTTTTAGCCTTAAATAGACACAAAGGGGTCTTCAGTCTTAGCATTTATCTTATTTTTTACAAATCCGTCCTACTGACATTTAGACCCTCGGCGCAAAACTCAAAATACAAATTTAAGGTAGATTTTGACTGGAAGCCAAAAGGAGCTCAAACCAAGGTTTAATGTTGCTAGCTTATTCGCAGAAGTCTGTCATTTCTCCTCCATTGCAGTTCTTACTGAAGTGTCCCCACCATTTAGTTCACGACTACTCAGTGAGCTTACACAACATGTAATCTCAGCTGCAGTAACTGTATTAGGGTTTTTCTTTCTGAGAACAAACGTTACCTGAGCTATAGAAACCATTGCATTCATGCAGCCTGAGAGCATCAAAATGTCGCTAACGTAGCCACCAACCATCAAACTAGATGTAACTACCCTTTCGGTACAACCGCCTGTGACTGTGGCAGAACCGGGTCAGGTGATATGGTGGCCTTACAAAACTGACAGTGCCATAATGTGGTAGCTTTTCACCTCAGTGCAGTGCAGTGTAAGTAGCTTCTGTCAGTAGTGTCAGTCAGTGTAGATATGCAGTGCTTTAGGGAGTTTGGGTCTTCACTGTTCTCCGTAGCCTTGTGTGTCTGTGTTATCATGTCACCTTGAGCTAATTAGTTTTAGGAAAGTCGCTTTCCTATGTTGGTAAACTAGGCTAGATGCAGTGCTTATTAGCCTTTAGAGACACTGGATAACCTGAGACAACAGTTGAGTTACGTTATTCGTATGAGTTTTTTTCTGGGGATCTTCTCTCTCCCCTGTTGAGTACTGTTCTTTTTTATTTGCTGCAGGCTTCCTCTGTCAGCTTGGATACTTTTTTTTTTCCTCCCCCTCCAGTTTTTCTTGAACACATCTTGGGAACTTGTGATTTGGTTTGTTTCCAATTTGAAGGTAAAGCTAGCACTTTGTAAAAGGACCATATCCGCTTGTGAGCTGTACAAGGTACAAAATAACGACCCCGTGTCTTTGTTACGTCTTCTCATTCAGTTGGAAATGCTTTACATCTTTTGTTCTTTGGAATATTTCATTCATTTGCAAAAAAAAAATATCTTTGGTGTTCACCTGGCAGTCGTGTCCCTCATTACACTCTAAATATCGGAAATGTATTTATTTATGATGGAAAATGTTGTTTTTGTAATTACATTTTTTACCTCTTTTTTTTTTTTCTCGATTTGTCCCATTAATGGCTGATCCAGTCAGATTTACATACATGCAGCCTAAACCGAAGCAAAATATGACTGTGTTATCAATGTTATTTTAACAATAAAACACTCTTCTATCGCAGTGTCAATCATACACAAATACATTTATTTTAAAAGCCATGATGTATCCAAATGTGACAGTACAAACAATCAAATGACAGGATCATCAGTAACCTGAGAAGAGGTCAACGTTATTTCAATGTCGGGTCAATATACAGTATATTATGGGCTTTTATTAATATTAAAATATTAGGTATTTGCTTATCTATAAATGAATGAAAACTTTAAAATTTTAAAAGACGGGGAAACACCCTTCAACTATATTGAGAGTGCTGATTTTGCAGAGGGCACCCTGCACCTTCCATGTTTGGAACACCACAAACACCAGTTGATCCGAAGAGAGCATAAACAAGTAAATAAATGGTGTGTGTATATATTCATACATGTATATACACACATTATATCATTCTTTAAAATCCCTTATTGAATAAGTACTTGCTCCAACATTCCACCCTTTGCAAGCTTGAGATCTATGTTTGTTGGTTTAAAACTGCAACATTTTCTACTTAACACAAAAACTTTGATCATTAAGTTAAAGCTAACATGAAGTAGCAGAAACTAAACAAACAAGCCAGACAGCAGCTTTGGTAGCATCTACCCCAAAATTAGAGGCCAACTGGTGTCAGGTTTTTTTTAAAGAACAATACAAATGCTGATAGTTGATATAAAAATCTAATATCCAATAAATGTGCCAATATTTTATTTTCTTTCAACATTTAACGTTGATGTGTAGTTATTTATTTACTCGCTTACACTCTTCTCGACACTCAAAATATAAAGGCTGCTTCCTCTGTCTCATCTTTAATTCTCATTTACTGGCTATTACAAATGCTGATAGCATTAAGATCAGCAAATAGCTGATATTTGTTGATAACCCAAAATCCAACAAAGACTACATAAGACATGACCTCAGTGTCTACAATTGCAGCTCTTGTTCCATGCGTATTGAAAAAGGATTTCATAAATCACACAGTGCCTTTTCAAACAAACAAACAAAACATCAGGGAGGCTCATGGCAGCAAAAACCAGCACCTTTTGCCCTCCATGTAAATCAGTTTAAAAACAAACAAACATCCAACTCAAATAAGTTTAATCTGTGAGGCTAGCTCATCTTAAGTTCTTTTACATCCTCATCAGGACTGGAACCGTTTTTTAGCCATGTAAGATCTGGAGACTTGGTTCATTATGACCAAGGCACTGAGCACCAGGCAGAGTGCTGACAGGTACCAGGTGTATTCTCTGACAGCTCCAGCGAACCACACAGAGCAGAGGCCCAGGAGCATGCTGGCACTGCCAAGCAGGTAGGTGATGAGTCCAGACGCCGCGTGGTAGCGCTTGAGTTTGGCGAGGGACCAGCCTTTGGCTAGAGAAGGATAACTGAGAGGCATCGCTGCCAAGGACTGCGCAATGACCACACACACTGTCAGCAGGCCCAACAGACCGTGCCACGAGGTGAAGTGGGGTTTACCACTCAGGTGTTTGTTATAAAAGATGGCAGCAAAGCCCAGGACTGCACAAGAAGCACAGAGGCCCTGCAGGAGCCGGTGAACACCACCTTTGGTTTTGTGTGAAAAACTTTTGATAGGAGAGCCCTCAGGTGAGAAGAGGAGTATAGCTTCTGTCATGAAGAAGGAAAACTGGAGGGAAAGGACATTACCTGAGTCGTTGGCAAATTTGATCAATTAAAGAATCTAAGAACATTTTAACTGTTTAAACTTACAGCTAGGGTCATCAAGAAAGGATGCCAAGAAAACCAACCTAAAACAAAACAGGAAATCAAATTAAATGCGATGCAATGACGGGCACTGCTGTAGAAATGTGTGATTACTTAAGGCACTCACTTGTACCGGGTCGAGAGAGAACTGAGATGAAGACAGCGAAGCCAAAGCAGATGAGGTGGGTCAACACAACAGACGCTGTTCTGGTAAAGCCATAAAGCCGAGGCTCTGATTCAGGCTCTTTCTTGTGAACCATGTCTTTAAAATTCACTCAATCGCCACAATGTGACCGACGCGAACTCGCCGTTAGTTGAATCAATGAGAAGCGGAAGTGACGATGGGCCAAAAGTCCTTGCGTTGTCTTCTTTTGCTGCTCCACTGTTTTATTTAACAACCCGGCACAAACAAAAGCCTACATTCGTAATTTATTAACATGTCCCTTGTCTTGACGTCAACACACGTCAAGCTTTGGTGTTTTCCGCCGGCGATGATAAGACTTCCGGCTAGGGTTTTCAAAACAAAGTACGTTGGAGCACTTCCACACAAACGTTCATCCGGACACTCTGTAACATGTCAGCTGATTTACCTGAATTTGAAATCCCCACATTGTCAAATAATACAATAAAGATTTTCGTTATTAACATCTGGTCCGATTGTGTCAAATTTGACACGGTTCTTCTACTACTATTATTTCTTCTTCTTCTTCTTCTTTTTCTTTTATTTTAGCTGCTCCCTTTATGGGTCAGAGTCAGATTTATTGTCACATCAGAGATTAGCAAAAGTAAAAGGTGGGTGAAAAACTTTTTGTTTCAGAACAGATCAGCAGAAACACAGTGAGACACCACATTTTATATATGCTCAAATGCATTAGTAAAAGTGCATATGTCTGACATCAAAATAGCAATAAAAGTAAATTAACAGGTCGTAATTTATTCAGCAACCTGACAACAGTTGGAAAATAGCTCTTTTGCATCCTGGTCGTGTGCCTGAGGATGCATTTATAGTGTTTCCACATGATGATGATCCACTGTTGTTGACTTTTCCTTCTCGCAGCTTCACATCAAGCACATGCCCAAACCAGCGCAGCCTTGCTTCACTAACTCAACCTGAGCTGGTCTCACCCATTTTGTAAGGGTCCCCTTTCATTCTTGCTGCCTGTCCATCTGTCACAGATCATCCCTGATACTCAACTTCATTATCTCTCTTATGCATTATTGTTTTAGAGCGTTGACCCCAGGTATTCACACTCATCCACTTTCACTGCCTCTGCTCTTTGCAGATGTTACACCTGCTTCCCTCTCTGTCACACACATGCATTCTGTCTCAAAATTCACACGCAGCGCATTCCCCCTAAATATTGACTGAATTAGCCTCTCAAACATGTATGTTACACTGTCCTGCACATAAACACATTTATCCTTATCCTGAATTAAATCATGTAAGTAAATAAGGTTATAACATACCAGATGGAGCATTAACCTTGGGTTCTGTAAATGATCTATTGATATAGGAGCATCTCCACAAGAGTTTTCATAACAATCGTTTCCTTGGCTTGTCTGATCTGAAAAATACAGACATAATATTTTTAGTCCACCAGCCCAAGATCTGAGCTTTGTCTGATTAACCTGTAGTAGTCTGTGCAAAGACTCAGAAATAACTCAAATCCAAATAAAACGGCAATCTTGTTACATGGTAAAGCTTTTATTCTGAAACCGAAATTCCCACAATTCCTTTCATTTTATTCTGACCAGTTTAACCGCCGGCTTCAGTTGCTAGCTGACGTGGACAGAGCATTGTAGTACAACCTCTCCTCAAAAGTGCTTGAATACTTGCACGCGATTGCTGCCAGGCCCTTTAACACGTGGTCAAGGTCCTTGAAAAGGTGTATTTATCTCTAACAAAGTGGTTTTTGTAGTTGTCGGTTATTGAGAAAATTCTGCAAAATAAATTTCGGTGCCATTAGATGCATCCCTCATGCTATTTATTGCACAGTGGATAAGAAGTGTCATCTAAAGTACCTAAAGCATTTCCTCAGTTTATGTTATATGTCAGACTAATGGCACCAGTTCCACACCCAGCACTTACTGGTCAGCTGCCTATTAGTTGTTGTTCTTCAGTTACGCTCTAATAAGCTTGTGACTCTGCATGGCTTCCACACTTGCAGAGTCACAAAGAGCACAGAAAACAACATTGTCAGTCAGAGTATCTGTCTCCTCTCTCCGTCCTATACAATGCACACCACACAGGGTACTGCATGTCTTCACTGTTGCAGGCTTTAAAAATGAAGCTTCTTAAAAGGTAAGCATGAGCAGTAAAGTTGCTTTTGCTTTTAGATACTCACGTTGTTGGTTCTTTAAAGGAGCAAGTAGACCTGGCAGGTATTTAAAGGGTATGATAACAGAATTATTTCCATGGTTAAGAAAGACAATTCACAACATCAAATCAAGTCAAGAACACTGTAGACATGTCATTGTCAAAGTCTATAATCAAGACACACTTTCATGAATGGAAATACACAAGGCTTACAACTAAAAACAATGGTTACACTCAGAAACAGGAAGTTTAGATTATACTGTGTTGGAGAACATCGAAAAGAGGCTGCACAGTTTTGGAAATAAATCTTTGGACAGATGAAACCAAGATTAACTTGTGTCGGATTGATGGGAAGAGAAAAGTGTGGAGGATGAGAGAAACGGCTCATACTACGTCATCTATCAGACATGGAGACAATATTATGACATGAGCATGTACGGCTGCCAGTGGACCCAGGTCAGCAGTGTTTCTTGAAGATACGACTACTTATAGAACTAGTAGGATGAACTTTGAAGTTCACAGGGCTATACTCTCTGCCCAAATTCAACCAAATGCTGCAAAACTGATCAGACTATACTTCACAGTACAAATGGATAATAGCTCAAAGCATACTGAAAAAGCAACCCAAACGTTTCTGGGTGCAAAGAAATTAAATATTCTTCAATGGTCAAGTCAGTCACCTGACCTTAGTTCAATAGAGCATGTTTTCAGTTAACTGAAGAGAAAAGTAAATGAAAGAGACTGGAAAAAAGCAAAAGATCCATTCTTTTTCTTCTTTTTTTTTTTTTTTGCCTGTCCCGTTTGGATCTTTAGCCAATAGAATTGTTGTCTGAAGGCCAAAAAAGATGCCTAGCGAATTTACTTTACCAAGTGGATCATCATGGCCTTGCCACATCAGTCCATTTGATTGACCGTTATTATAGTTATATATTTATTTTATTTTATTTTCAGTTGTTACAGACGGGACAGAGATGACTGGGGGATAGGACAGGGAGAAAGAAAGAATGAAAGAGAGGGAGAGAAAGACAAACTGGGAAGAATAGATAGTGAGAAAGGAGGGAAGAAAGAAAGAAAGAAAAACACCTGGATCACCTGTTGAGAGAAGAAAAAAACAAAAGAAAAAACAAACAAAAAAGAGCAACATAATAAATATAACACTATCACAATAAACTAGCTAACAGTAGATACTAAATATTAAATGTTATTGTGCAGCACGCAAGATCAACAGCGCACAATGTGCTTTGAGGTAGCAGCCAAGAAAGGTGTAGTTTGTGTCTGTGAACACCTGTGTGTATACCTGTGTGCATACCTGTGTGGATCAGCACGCTTGTATTCAAAAGGTTTCTCCATGTAACGATCTGCTAGGGAGTGTGGGGGGCCATAGCCCCGTCCCCCAGGGCATGAAGCAGGTATGGAGGAGATCCAGGCCCCAGACATCCAGAGGGCCCAGAGTACGAAGACCCAAGTAGGACCACTAAAGGGGCAACCGTGCCACCCTCCTGAGAAGAGCTGAGGAGAGCCCCAGATGAGGGGTCACCCAGCAGCCACGGAGCCGGGTTGCAGCGACGTGGCTCCTTTTTTGCAGAGCCCAAAAGACCCATTCTAGTGACAGATTTCCATGACTACGTTGTACATGTACAATAACAATAAAGGGCTATTCTATTCTTCTATTCTATTTCTTCATTAAGCCATACATTCCCTTCCTTTTTTATCTGTTCTGATGTTCCAGAGCTGTGGACCTTTAACTGTGAAAACGCTGTTTTCTGTTTGGCTGGTTTTTAGTCGTTACTAACTGTAGAGAAATTATCTCACGCCCTCTTGTAGCTTCAGATGTGCCTTACTCCCACTTGTGAGAAACAGAGAGTGAGCGTGTGGGACATGAATAAATCATGTTATGGTATTCTAACATGCATTTCTGGCCTGGGAGAATCTGCCATATTGGAGCCTGGAAGGTTTTTTTTTTCTCTCTGACTGATTTGCCAGTTCAAGTGTCCCCAAATCAAAAATGAATCATTCTGTTCATTTCAAACAAGTATCCGTTTAACCATATCTACTGTTTTATTATGGACTAAAAGATTATCATTAAGAATTAATTTTGTTATTCGGAATTAAACAGTAAATTATTTTTTTTAATGATCGCTACTCTTTCTGATACAGTAACGTTTATTAAATACTGGGCTTTGTTGTCAAAGGAATTTCCCAAATGAAATGCGTCATTCAGCAACAACACAGAGATGAAAAAATAATAATAAATTTATTTAGTAGCCGTTT